GGAGGAGGGAGAGGAGGAACAGAGAGAGAGGGAAGGAGAGAAGGGGGAGAGAGGAGGAGAGAAAAGAAAATCGAACAGTCAATTAAAAAAAATTAGCAGCATGCAGTAATATTTAGTAAAATTTAGTTGAAACCACTGTTGGTAACTCCTACAGTTTCTGTTTGTTAGACTGTCAAATGAGGGAGTTGATCTTCTGGTTCCGGGATTGTTATTCTACTGGAATACTGAGCTCTGGTTTATGGAGTGAATTTCAGTGGCCCCTGTCCCACGTTCCCCATTGGCAGGGGTACCGGGACAGAGGGCTGCTCTAACTGGGTACAGAGAAGTACCCACCAGAGGTGATTAGTGATATTTAAAATGTCATCTGGACAGTTTTTCACCTACGTTACACATTGTCTTTCTGTCCTGAATCTCTTTAGTAGGCAAACATTGCTTCACTAGGAACACCTGAGGGTGTAAACAGAGCCGTGTAAATGGCTATGGTAAGTTGTTTTCCCAAAATAAGAACAGAAAGGGATAACCATCCTGTCTCCTCCTCAATTTGCTCTCAGGCCAGTCCTGCGCAAACCAGTCCAGAAACATCCATTCCACAGAGAGAGATTTCGCAGCCCTGGCTGGCCACCCAGTCCAGCACAAACAAACCCTGGCAGGACCTGCCTCCTTTGGCCAGGACTGCTGGGCTGTGCCCATTTGGCAGAGCAGGGGTGATGACCAAAATTAGGGCCCCTGGAATCCTGCTTGTCATTAGTCCTAAACGGAGAGGCACCAGGCTGCTGGTAGGAGACCTTTAAAAGGCGGGAGAGAGACAGAGGAAGCGGATAGAGGAGGGCACAAAAGAAGAGACGGAGAGAAAACCAAAAAACCCTGTGTGATTCACACCAGCACTGGGCCAGCCGTCCTGAGCCGAATATAGCCACCAGCATGAAGCTGGCAGAAGCCTAGCCGAGCTCCTCCCTGTACGGACAGATGTCAGATGGCTGGCACCCCATTGTTGTGTTAGTTATTAATAAACTTCCTAACAATGGGAGGAAGTGCTAGAACTCAGAGAGTGGGAGCGTGCGAGCCGCTGAGACAAACACGGTCCGTTCCAGGTGGCGCTTGGCACAGTGCGTTTTGTCCCAGTATGGAAAGTGTCAGAGCCAGGCCACCAGGGCGGACCGCAGGTTTTATTTTATTTTTATTATCTTTCTTTTAAGCCAGAGATGCAGCACCAGATTCTTCACAACCCTGCTCACACAAAGATGACTCCATGGCCACCTCATCAATCATGCACAGATCTCCCATTTAAAAGTACAACGTGTCCTTAGTTTTGCAGAGAATGGGTGGTTTGTGCCTCTATACTTCCACTGGAGAAGCCAATGGTGCTCTCATCGTTCCCTTCAAGAAAAGATGCACAGTAACGAGTCCTGTTCAGAGGGTTATTGCAACAAGCCACGCCACCCTGCAGGAGGTGGGATATTTCCTAAACAGTCTGTGCTATTTTCTTTAAATAGCCGGAGAGGAGAGCAAAAACAGCGTCTCCTCGGCCCCTGACTCCCACTGAAACCCATTGTTCTGTGATGGCAAAGCCCTGAAACGAGGCTTAGAACAAATCTTAGCCTCTCTCTCGCTTTCAGACAAACCATGAGAAGACCTCGCAACTTCAGCCACAATGACACACACGGTTGTACATTTTGTTGTTGTTGGTTTTTTTCTCGCTGCCAATCTTTTCTGGGATTTCAAGTAATGGGTGAAGGGAAAGGAGGAACTAACCCTCTGAAATTTCCACAAAATGGACTTCAGATTCTCTCTCTCTTTTTTTTTTTTTAAACCCTGAAAGTGTCTTCAGCGAATGGCCTGAATTCACGGTTATCTTTTCAAACTGTATCTGAACCTTCTGAAAATTGTGACCTGAAGCACCTATGAACAAAAGCAGTGGGAGAGGCAGCTGCGAATACGGAGGACGCGGCTGGGCTGTCGCGGGCCACGGTGAAGGAGATGTGTCCTGAATTCCCCCGCAGCCGCTCAGCAGATTTGCTGAGCCCCAGCACAGACAAGTTTAGGACAGGGGCCCCATAACCTCCCTCGGATCTGCACAGCAGCAAGGACCGTGTCAGGAGAGAGAACTCGGTTCCTTTTATTCCAATACAGGCTTACAGCTCGAGCTCAGACAGAGCACAAGATGTATCTAAGGGTCTCCATGAAGGTATAGGTCTAAAGGATGTGCTGGGGACGGTTCTATGTGTCACCGTGCAGGCCACAGGGTGTCCTGGTCCTAAGCCTTTTGACCCATTTTGACCTTTTCTTTTTGAAGGTCATCTGGATAGCCAATGGCCCAAAGCACTGGTATGTGTGGCTTTCTGGCTCCTTTCATAGATATCAATGACATTTCTTTAGCATTTGACATCGGGGACTGTCCCCGCTGTCTAGGCAAGAGGACGGAAAGGACAGAGGAAGGGGATGGGAGAGTGGACTATTGCCTTGATTTTTTCAGGCTTAGGGCTAGATCCCCCCAAGGTGGGGGATGTGGAGTGAGTCCCTCCTTTCCTGAGGCCCAGGGCTTTCCTCAGGTGAAGGCTTCCCCTTCCCAAGGAACAAGAGAGGGGCAGTCTCAGTGGAAGGAATAATATCTACAGAGCACAGAAATTCCCTTTGTCACTGCTGGGATGTCTCAACTGTCTGCTAAGTCATGGGAGGTGGGTGTGGGGCATCCCCAAGTGGCCTCGACCTTGGCATTAAAGGAAGCGTTTCAGGCTCCAACTTGCAGGGCTGGGCAGAGTTGGACGCCCTCTCTGGCTTAGTCATGGGGCCTTCTCCACCCACGTTTCTTCTTGCTCAGCCAAGCAGCAGCAGAGAGGGCTGAAGGCACAGACACTGATGGCCGGAGTCACCTTGCAAGTGCCCCTTTCTGCTTCTGTCAGCTCCTAAACATCTTAGCCTGGGGCCCCATCGCTGAATTATCAACGATAATTGATAATTCATCAATTATCAATTGATAATCTAGCCAACCAGATTGCTCGTTAATGAACTACGGGGAGGACTAGAGATGTATTGCTCTCCAGTCTTCACGATGCCTGGGTGTCTGACAGGCACATGTTAGTCTCGTCTTGGGAGATTGGGGGCCCCTGTCCATAGACCCATCTATAGCTGCCAGTGGGACACTGCCTTGGTACCCCTGGATGCTGCCTGATATGAGGGGGCCCGTGCAGAGGGACCAGGATACAGGCCTCAAAGTGGGGACCCCTGGGTCCTCAACAATACACCACCCACCTCAAGCTTTGATCTCTTCTTTAGCAAGAAGAGTGGCTCTGAAAGTCAACTTGTTTTAGATGCAAATTCTCAGGTTCTCCCCAGAGACTCAGGTCCTCCCCAGACCCACAGAATCAGAGACTCCAGGCGGAGGCCCAGCAATCCTTGTTTGATCATGCCCTTTGACCCTGTGATGCATGCCTAAGACTGGGAGCCACTGGGCATGAAGACCCCAAGCTGGAGTCACTGGATTGCCAGTGATAAGGGGCCAGGGCTCTGACCCGACGTTCTCCATTTTCACATGGGTTAGAAGAAACTTGCATATTATGTTGAAAAGATACCCCAGCTATAGGCTTTGGCTCTGACCTTGGCTGTAATTCGAGGGGTCTTAGGTTTTTAATATCCTTTTTTTTTTTTAAATTGGTGCATGTGGATGGTGCCCTAACCACTGAGCTATGGGTGCCCAGCCTGAATATCCTTTTTTTTGATATAAGAAGACAATATCCAGTACAGTCTTCAACGCAAACTCCTAAGCCTCAGAAAGAATAAGGCTTTGGCCCATCTTTTTGGGTGAAATATTTTGGAGGAGTCTGAGGCAGGGAGAGTTGTATAGTGGACCCTAGGGTGACCTCACAGAGGCAAAGCCAGGTTTTATGGGACCTGAAGCTTACCTAATTTTGGTGGCTCTATTTAAGAAAAACAACACAAAATGTATTAATGCTTGCAGATTTTACAGAAACACATGACCACGTGACCATGATGCCAGGGCCTGCACGGCGAGGGGCCCCCTGCCCTACACTTCACCCTGTCTCCCCAGTAAAGCCACCTGTCCATTCAGGAAGGACATCTGTCCTCTTTGTGGCCCTTTAACCTTCTTCCTACCACTGGACCACCAGCCAGGAAGCTGCCTGACAACTTCTAGCTCCTCTTCCTCGTCTGTCTGTCGTGCTGCCTGCCGTCACGGTGACGGTGCCTAGAAGGTGAGTAGGGGAAAGGCTTTCCACCTTATTTGCCTTACTCAGAGGCAAGGTCTCGTGGCGCCCAGATTGACCAGGCTTTTCCTCTGTCGCACTTTGCTAACCTTTTCCAAACCACAGCCACCTCGCTCTCTCCTGGCCTCACTCTTCAGGGAATGGCACCCCCCCAAAGTCAGCCTGATCTGAGACCCCAGAGCTCTTCTGCCCCTCTTGATGCTGAATGACAGACAGACAGACTGATGGACAGAAACAGGCAGTGGAACCAGATCCTCTAACTCTCAGTTTTGAAAGGTGCTTCATCGGGACCCCATGCCCTGTGACAGTGAGACTGGCTTCTTCCTACACGATGGAGAGTATTCTAGACCTGCTGAGGCCCTGAGAAACCCGCCTGGGAACAGAATGTAGCATCTCTTGGCACCAGACCACAAACATCGGCCCTTCCTTAGTCAAATCCCCTTTTTAAGGTGCATGCGTGGACCCCACTTTCTGCCCTTGGACTTGACATTCCTGCCAGCCACGAGCATCCCGTCAGGCTCTGGAGGTTATATGAAGACACCTAAGTGAGACCAACAGTCCTTCCCACACTGTGTGGATTCTACTGATTTTGGATTTTTCCCTCCTCGACCCTTTGATACTTTGGGACAATTTTCTCAGATTCCCGTTTGGCTCCCAAGCTAGGTCTGGAAACCGGAGCCAGCTCCTGGTGAGGCGGCCCAGTGGCCTCCTGCACGGTGGCTGTCTTTGGGGGGTCTACCCGGGGGTCCCCGCTGTGCTCCAGGAGGCCCGGCTGCTTACCTGAGGACAGCAGGCTGCCACTGCTGCCACTGATGATCTTCCCTTTGCTGCCCATGTTGGCCAGCTTCGAGGTCTTCAGCGTCCCCGTCTCGGTCAGGTCGATGGCGATCTCGCTCAGACTTCGTGCTGCATGGATCTTGGACTGGAGGGAAAAGGAGATGGGTCACAGAGGGGACGGTCATCACCCGCCTGCTCCTGATGTTTGGCAAACAGACTTATCTCCCTCACAGGCAGCAGGTTTCTCTTTGTGTCCCTGGCCCAGTCGTTATCACTGAAATGCTCCAAAGGGACATAGGAGGGTTAGGAGTTGCTTTAATCCTGAGCTACACCCAGGATTCTGTAGGTTATACTGGGCAGTGCTTACGAGAACATTCTGATTTGGGGAAAGTGACTTAATCTCACTGAGCCTCATTGTTCTGTAATGTCACCTATGACCCAGGGGATGGTCAAGGACAGAGGAGGGAAGGTGTGGGAAGGGTGTCCTCCCCTTCTCTCTCAATCCCATCCTCTCCCTCCTCATCTGCCTGGCACATAGATCTCAACAAACAGTTGCGATTATAGTTATTTCGTACTTAAACAATGAGGGAAAAGTAATTTTCAGCGTTTTGAGTGATATAAGACAAAGCTGAAGCAGATTTACAAAGTTTCTCTAAACTTCTAAGTAATTAAAACCCTCTGAACTAGGCTGGGTACAGTGGCTCTTATCTGTAATTCCAACACTCCAGGAGGCCAAGGAGGGAGGATTGCTTGAGGCCAGGAGTTCGAGACCAGCATTAACAAGAGCTAATGAGTTCCTGTTTCTACCAGAAATAGAAAAATGAGCTAGGCATGGCGACACAAGCCTGTGGTCCCAGCTAGTCAGGAGGCTGAGACACGAGGATCGCCTGAGTCTAGGAGATGGAGGTTGCAGTGAGCTATGATGATGATACTACCGCAGGCGACAGAGTGAGACCCTATCTCAAAAACCAAAAAAGAATAATAAAAAAAAGCCATAACAAAAAACCTTAAATTACGAGCCATGTGGCCATGGAAAGCTGGGGGAAGCGATAGGGTTCTGTGTCTACCACGGTGGATGAAAGCCTCTGAACAGTGGCTTGTTGGATACTGAGGTCTGACAAGGCCCTCTGCTTCCACTTTGAGAGCTCAGCGTGCGTGCCAGAGTCTTCCTGTTATGGCTCAAATGCTGCCCCATTCAGTCCACAAAGTGGCCCCCTGCTACGGGTCGGAGCAGGTTAGCAGCATCGGAAGTGGGCTCCGTGTGACAGCCACATCCCTAGGCGTGGTGGTGTGAGCACAGCTGTGTGCTAAGTTACCCCCTTGGTAAGTTAGGTGTTTGCGATTCCTACACAAGGATTCAGCATTTTCTTTCTTTCCTTTTTCAGGAAATCAGTTTTGGGGGGGAGTGCTTCAGGCATCATGAACTTCATGAAAATAGCTATGAACAATGGTCACACGCACTCATCTGCCCATCGGGAGCCCTTTCCGTGGCCACTGGCTGTGGCACATGTGCACAGAAGCGGGTGAGGCTTGCCACTGGGCGTCCCTGTCACTTAATGGCTGTTCACACCTGGCTCAGGCGAGACCAGGTCTTTTCCTTTGGGGGAGGCTGTGCAGGCTACAGAGGAGTGCAGACCCATCACCTTCCCTGCTCACAGAGCTCCCCCTGTGCCCAGGGGTCTCAGCCGTCCAGAGGGGCTGTCTGACCTCCTGTGGCTCTGCCCTTCATGCTGCTGTCTGCACAGGCGATGACCATGACTTCCAGGCACTGCACACTTTCCTCAGGAACATAACGGGATGTCTGGGGACCGGAGGGAGGAGACGCAGGGACACGCCGCCCTGCCTGATTTGTTTACCTGGCATGAACTGGCTTCCTCCTCCTCTCTCCCCCTCGGGCGTGGCCTTGACTTATGCCTCCTTTCTGACCCCAAGTGTGTGCCTCGCCTTCAGACCCAGGTCGACTTCCTGAGGCCAGGAGGGTTTCCTCGTTCAGAAGGCAACCCTGCCCACCAGGCCCTCGCAGATCTTGGCTCATACCAGAAAGGAGGAAAGGCCTTTCACTGGGTCTCCATGGCCCATCAGCGGCACCCAGCTGGCTGAGTTTCACCCTCCCAGCGAGCACAGCCAGTACAATCAACCACTTCCTTTCTTTCTGCTCTGCTCTCTCACCAAGACCCACGTCTGAACAGAAAGGAGCCCACACTCAGTCAGTTACGTAATCGTAATAATAACGCAGAGCCCAGCTCCGTGCTGTGGCTAAGAGTGCAGGCTCTGAAGTCAGAAAGCCCCAAATTCGGGTCTTGGCTCTTCCCAACTAATAACCGCCGCTGGGCCTTCATCCTTAACCTCTCAGGTCCTCACATTCCTCTTCGCAAAAAGGTGATACTAAAACCCACGCCACCAAGTTGTGATAGGAACCAAATTAGATAATTTACGTAAAGGCCACTGTAATAGGAATAGGGTATAAATTAGGGCCTGGTGGTAATTTGCTAAATCAGATTAGATTGATGGCCCACGCTGATATTTTGGGGAGCTCATTAATCATACGGAAAACCTGTCCTCCCCCTCCCCTTGACTCTGGCCACTCATCAGTCGCAGAGGCAGAAAACCTAGATGGAAAATACAGAAACAACAGACATCCTTCCCCAGGGAGGCGGGATTCTTAGAAGCTACTCAACTCTTTCTGGGATGGACATAGCACAGTGACCTACAGACTCACCAGGCAGGGACAACCAGGAGGAAGTGAGCAGGGACAAGGAGCCTCCCCCCGCACAGTCAAGTCTCTGGGCCAAGCCAAAAGGGTCTTAGACTTCTGAATATTTTGCTGGGAGCATCTTGCCCCATCAACAGTGTTACTCGGTTTTAGCACCGATGCTCTGTGAGCAAGGTTTAATTGTCCCCTATCACATTCTCACTCTGCTTTTGATCCCAGATGGAATGAAGAATAGCAGACTGAATTAAGGAAAAAAAAAAGGTTAGGAAGAAGGAAAGATGTTTGCATTAGGGGCCCAACTCAAGAAGGCCCCACTCTGAGTTCAGAGGGGAAGTGGCTCATGTTTACTCTAAGCAATTTGAGCCTTCAGTGTTTTCCTCTGAAGTCCACAAGACATTCCTTGGCTCTGGACTACAGAGGTTGCTGGGATCCAGCTGACAACATTTCTGATCTTTGGGGTCAGCATGTAAGTTACCAATTATAAACGAGGCCTGCATGGTTTGTCATTCTGAAGGAGCCACAGAAACCATCCAGCACAGCCTCCCTCCACTATGCTTTGACAGTGGAGAGGTCTCCTGATGTGCGTGAGATGATGGAGGGAGGAAGGGAGACTGCCTTAAACGATTAGCACAAGGACCCCGAAAGAAGAAAGCAACCCGGTATCGGGGAAGAACACGAGTCTTCCTGGCTACCCCCCTTGCTGACTCAAACCACTAGACAGCACTTGTCTCTGCGGGATGATAAGCATCACTTGGGAGGCCTGGGCTCGGCCGAAGCACTTTAGAGAGAGGAATGGCTGCCACGGCCTGACACAGCAGAGTGTGAGCAGTGGCCAGGGTGCCAGCCAGCACTGGCAGTCCAGAAATATTCTGAAGTTTTTCATCCTAGGTCTGTCGGCCATCTCTGAGGCCGCCCTGCCCACTGCTGATGGATCTCATCACTGGTCTTTAATGAAGAACATTCTAGAAACGCAAGGCGTTGGAATTAAGTCATCTCACATTTAATTTGGCAACTTTTCAGAGAAGTTAAACTTCATGCAAGTGTTGGCTGGAGGAAGGTAGATTAACAATGATGTTTATAGAGGATGGTACATACTTCCTAAAGCAACTTCATAAACACTGTGTCATTTGACCAATCAACCATTCGGGTCAGGAATTTCCTTTTCTGCTCTCTGATTGGGGAAGCCAAGGCATAGACGATAAAAGACCCACTCAGGGTCCTAGAACTGGAAAACAGATCCCTTCAACGTCTAGGTGGAGGGAGGAGGTTGGGGCGCTGGCTCCTGGGAGTAGGGCCCAGGACATTTGGGGGCACGAGAGGCTTCCTGGGAGTGTGGGCATTTTCTCTCATCCCCTCGGGTTACTGAGAGGGACACCTGAAATACTTCTAATGCTGTGGGCATTTCGTTTTGCTTCCTAAAGACACTTCCTTTCTTTCTGGGGCACTTGTGTTGCGGGTTGACTTATAAGCCTGTTGTACGAGGCTGCCCAGCTGCAGAATGAGAAGAGATAAAGCCGTCCCAGGAATGTGACCCTGCACCCAAAACCACCTCAAGGAGGCGAAGCTTAAACAGCTAATTCCGCACTGTCCTCATGGTGAGGTGATTTTTTGCTACCCCTTTCTACATCATGGTATCCGTGTGCTTTGTGGGGGGGACTGGCAGTGGGCTCAAGAGACTGGCCCACCTCTCTGCCCCTCACCACCCATCACCCACCCACATGGAGGATGGAGTCAATGCTCTGAGGTGTTGGCCCCTGGCTTGGGCCACCGGGGAGCAGAACGTTGCACCCACCCACCTGCTCAGGGTAAGGTATGACTCAAAACACTCTGGCCTGTCTCTTTAGATCTAATCAGGCCTTGAATTTCTGTGCCAAGGCCCATCACCGCCAAGAGAGCTGTGGAATGCTCTCACAGTTCCTCCACTCCACCTGGGGCTCATTTATCCCAGAAAATGACAAAAAAAGGGGGGGGTCAGGAAAAAATAATTTACAAAGGAGAAAGTGATTGCTGCACCTGCCAGGCCCTGATTTAAACTGAACTACGGCTGGGGGGACTGTGTCATTTCTTCCTCGCCTCTTTCCTTACTATCCTTCTCTCATTTCCCAATCCACTGTTTCCTCTGTCCTATTCCCTCCTGCCCCACCAGAGAAAGAGAACCCCCCCCCCAAAAAAAATATGGCAAAAAGTATGAACCCAAGCCGGCACCAATCCAGACTGTTGGACCCAGTGACAGTGTCAGGCCCCGCCATGTCCCTCTTGGAGCTCGTGCTATAGAGAAAACCTTCTGCGGGTGCTGGGACCTGCTGGCCCCAGGCCTGTCCCACTCTGCAGCCCACCACCTCACCCCAGCAAGATCCTGAGAACAGGGCAGTGGTCACTTGGCAGTGCTTTTGGCCTGAGGGGGACGGCAAAGGAGCAGCTTCTGGGGGCCAAGTACCGGGAAGCCGGGGAGACGGGCTGGAGGGAGAGAGGGCAGAGTGTTGACACAAGCCGTGTGTGAACCAAGGAGACGTCATCCTCTCACCCACCAGAAGGCTGCTGTGAGCAGAACGGGGGTGGGGACCACCTCCCTGGGAGGATGACTGTTTCCCAAGGCCTGAGGCTCTAGGTCTACCTTTGGGAAACTGGGTGGTTGCCCCCCCACCCCCACTTTTCCAGTTTTGCATTAAAAAAAAAAATAAAGTTGGCAGTTGGAAAAGCCTGGAGGGTTTTTCACAGCAATTACCCTAAACAGTTAGGTGGTGTCTATTAGTTGTTGAGAAGGGTTACTTTTTTTTTCTTTTTTCACAAAGAAAACAATATGCCACTGTTTAAACCCCAAAAAGGGCCTGACTGCACACTGCTGGGAGCTTCTGGAGGGTGGAAAGCACAGTGGGAATTCCGCAAAAGGGCCCTGCCTGGCTGTGGAGTCGGGCTGAGCAGATCTGGCTCCTGGACCAAGCTGCAGGGAAGGTTTTGTCTTGTAGAACTAGTCTCGTTCCTCCTACCTGTGTCCCTAAAAGGCAGGTCTGTGCCTGTGTGCATCTCACAGCAAGGCACACCGTGTCCCCGACCCATCTGGTCCTCCTCCCTGAACTGGGAGAGCAGACAGGGGCTCCGGGCGGTTCCCTGAGAGGTGGCGTCACTCACCTTGCTCTGCTTCCTGTCCAGGTAGAACTGGTGCTGGCTGATGGCCATCGCCCAGATGGACTTGATTAACGCCGGACACGCATACCACGTGTGAACCGCGATGCCGCTATGCCCAAATGTCCTCCTGGTCACAGACGCCCTGGGGAAGCAGGGATCACAAGGGTCAACCATGTTTCTTATGAGAGAAAACAGCTCTCAGCCAGCAGCTTTTAGAGAGAACCCACTGGGTCCTGAAAAGCCATGGTGTAAAGGTGACAGGTCAGCTCACACATGAACGAACACAGGCAGACACACACACATACACATATACACGCTCACGTGCAGACAGGCTCAGGGACACTGGCTGGCACAGGCCACTTCTAATTTACTGCCTCCTAAGGGCTTAGAATTTGGCCAAGCCTAGGCCTTGTCTGGGATAAGATGGGTCATTCTGGGTCACTGGACGGTCCTTTCTAATTGTCAAGCTCCTGGGACTGGGCCAAGACAAACTCTGGAGACAGGAAAACCCTTGACAATGCTCCTTGTGTAAATGCTGCCTGTGGGGAAGATGAGTAAATTCTGTCCTCATGGCCACAGGGCACAGCCTCTGAGGCAGCCACGGATTCCTGTGTGGCTCTGCCTCAATGTTCCCTGAAGGGTTGGTTATCCATTTCAGACACATGCAGAGGGCAGGGAGGGCATCAGGAATCAGGCGAGGAAAGGCAGGGAGAATGAGGCCAGCCAAGTCCCCAGCCTCCCTATGTACATTTTAAAGCCTGTCTGGAATATATGTGGATGGAGCAGGGAGAAGCAGCAGGCTTTAGAAATAAAAATGGGGCCTTGGGTGGTGGCTCATGCCTCTAGTCCCAGCACTTTGGGAGGTCAAGGCAGGAGGATCGCTTTGAGCCTTGGAGTTGGAGGCTGTAGTATGGATGATGCCACTGCAGTCCAGCCTGGGTGACAGAAAACAGCTTATCTCTCCCCCCCCCCCAAAATAAAAACAAAAATGAGAAATACTGGTCATCATGTAATACACCACATTCATGGAGTCGGGGGAACAAAAGTTAAGTGATCATGTTCTCAGTGAAGCACATTTTTTAGGCCAGGAAGATTATTTTACAATAGAAATCTGAGAACCTGTGTTTGCACGTGCATCCTCATGCCATAAGCCTGTGTGTGTGTTCGTGTGCGTACGTGTGTGTGTGTGAGACAAGGTGATGGGAGAGAGTGTTGGTTGGCATGTGCACATTCGACCTGAACATCAGAAGAAAAATCAGTGTTCTCAAGGTTAAGAGATCTAACATGAAAGAAACTTAGGGGACTCTGGACTTGGGAATGCTGGCATTTTTTTTTTTTCTTGGCAAATTTTTTTTTAAGGAAACTTGAATTCTTTTTTTTTTTGGTGACTCGAGATTTCACAGTGGGGTCTTCTTACTCACCTTTAGGGAGAAAGTCAAGTCTGGTGGTTAGGGAATGATCCTCATTCCAGGCAGCTTTTTCTTCCCTTTGGTTTAAACTAAAGTCTCTCCTGCTCTGTTATTATTTCCTCATCTTTCCTTTCCAGCCCTTCCTATTTCGCCTGAATCTTAGAAATGGAATATGTGCCAAGCCTAGAGAACCTCCAGAACAAAGGTATGTATGGAGTCAGGATATACGAAGTCGGACAACTGAGTTCACAAATCATCCTAGAAAAAGTGCTATGCTGAGTGTCACTGGGGTCACCTTCTAAGTCCTCCCCTTGGGAAGCTGTGCACTGACGCCAGGGTCTAGTCCACCCTTTACAAGGCAAGTTTTCCATGACAAGTTCATGAATTTAATTGTCAGATCTCATATGATAGTAGTTCTGATGGCCACTCCAGAAAGAGTTCCAAAATTGCTTTGCAGGGTGGACGAGGTGCTGGCATCGGTGCCCAGCTTCCCCAGGGGAGCACCTCGAAGCTGACCATAGTGGGGTTCAGCAGTAAGGCACGGAGCACTTAGTCTAGGATGAGTTCGTGAACTTAACTGCCCTGCCTTCTATAGGAGGAGAAAGTCCGCAGCTTGTTCAAAGCAAAAAGACAAGGGGGAAGGGGTGATCACACTTGTACCCATCAACTCAGAAAGTACCCTCTTGTTGTCCCTGTTGTCACAGTGTCCATCAACGACATCAGTTTTAAATGATGGACATGGTGCTTCCCATCCTATCCTTATGCTCTGACTCCCTTTCTGGCTTAGGGGAGAGGCCTGAACACCGTTCCAATAGCAGGGCATTCAGAGTCATCTTTCCTGCTCCCAGTAAGCAAGGAAACAAGTGACAGGTGGACACGTTCAAACTTCAAATGTTCCTCGAGACTGTGGAGAGAACCGAGCGGGGCTCAGACCTCGCAGCTCACTCTCTGGCTCAGCCACTGCGCTAAGTGGCTGCCTGGAAGCCACTCCCTTTCCTTGTGAGTCTGGGCAAGGTGTCTTTAACACAGAAGTCAACTTGGCCTCCCTGGGCTGCTCTGTCTTCTCCCCCCATCTTTAGGATGACTTGGGGTACTCAGAATGATTCTGCACTGGAGGAGGGACGGTCATGCCCCCATCTCCCGCTGTCCCAGTCGAGGAGCACACACCTGACATCTTATCTCCCCAGGGCCCGCTGCCTGGCTTTGATCCTAGTCACCCTGGAGGTGCAGCTCCAACCTTCCTTACAGGAAGCCTCCCTTCCTGACCAGCCGGGATTCTGGTAGCTCTGTCGGTCAGCATTTCTGTACAGTATGGAGTGTTGCAGACAGACTTGCTAGGTTCACATCCTGCCTCTACCATGGACCATTTGTAACCTAGGGCAGGTGACTTCATTTCCCATGTGTAGACCAGGAACGCCTACAGTACCTGTGTCCTGGGCCACAGGAGGACCCAGGGGAGAATGGGCACTTATGTTTAGATCTGAGTCTGGCCATGGTAAACACTCCCTGAGCATGGGTTCCCTCTTCTGCCCGTCTCCCCAAACACCTAGCGCTCTTTAAGGAAGAGGACCCTGCATCAGACTTCCTTCCCCTCCCCGCCTCCGCTGGCACAGTGCCCAGACACAGAAGCTTCTCAGCAACCAGGACTGTGATCGCTGTGGCTTAGTAGGCCACATAAGCCCACCTGATGGTCATGGGTGAGGTTCCTATATCCCTGGGCCTCAGGGAAAGAGAAGGGAGTTTAGTATCACTTACTAGCAGGGTGACAGACACAGAGAGAGCTTGAGCACACACACACACAGAAACACACACACGCAGACCACATATACACCCACTCACATACATACACACGAACACCACTCACCCATTCGCATGCACACACCTTCATATGCTCACACATACACGTACACACACGTGCACAGAGAAAGGATTTGTCCAAGGTGCCTGGAGTTTGCAAAATTCCCCACAGAGCAGAGGCCTGGAGGTCTGTCTACCATGCTCAGCTCCTTAGATTCTCCTGTCACTAATTTTTACTCCATCAAGCTTCCCCTCCTGCACCTGACCCATCGTGGCAAAGTTCACTTCACTGTTTTCACACCTCAGTTTCCTCTCCTCTTGCACACCTAAGACTCTGGTTCTATACGGTTCGCCTACAGAATAACAGTGAGTCACTTCTTGGCTGGAATATTCTTTTCTGCATCTCCCCCACCCCAGGCTGTCAATGGATCCGTGGTCTGTGCTGGGGGGTTCACACCACAGTACCCTCTGAAGGATCCCTAGACCCACTGGACAAACTGTTACTGTTCTCCTGCATTAAGCTACTATCTTCAGCTGTCTGCAGGGACACGGACGCTCCTCAGGGGCTGCCAGGCTGGGATAAGCTCTCGCCCTGTGCAGCGAGTGGCTGTTTCTGGCAGATTAGGTGGCGGGGAGGTGGCACATCTTCCTACCAGGTCACCCCAGCTGCTGGCTGCAGGGGCCAAGGCTACTGCACAGGCCCGAGCCCTTGTTGGGGGGTGATGGCTTCTTGGCGTGTCCTGAGTGCACAGGGAGGCACATAAACTTATCTGGGGCATCAGAAGCCACGTGTGAGGCAGAGACGGCGCCAAGCCCTCCTTCCACACCCAGGGCTGGAGTGTCAACGGCCCCTAAACTCCACGAGTCTTTTTTGCTGTCTCCCATGGCTACTTTCTTGTAAATCTGTTTTCACACCCAGAGAAAGTGATTTATTCTTGGGTGTCAGGCCTGGTTTTAGGGAATTCTACTCTGTTTACGGGCTGCCTGCAATGCCAGGTCCAGCAGCAGACAAAGAGGGACACACAGTGGGCATGAGCTGCCCAGGCCCCTGCTGGGCTGGGCTCCCTGCACTCCAAACCGGGGCCCCATTGTCTGGCATCTGACTGGGAGAATGGGGATTTTTATAGCACACAAGCCCTCTTTGGGGCACCACGTGGGGTGGAGAGAGGATAATTGTATTTCTTTCATATCCACCCACAATCCTAAAACTATGTCTCCCCGAATAAAACAATGAATGGTGACTGATTTGGTGACAGATTCCTTTTGGTGTTGACAGTCGTGCCTGAAAGGATCTTAGAGACTCTGGCCAGGGAGTCTTCAACTCAGGCCACTGCCCAGGTTAGTTTGGTGTTTGTTATAAGGTGCCAGAGGCTTCCCTCCAATGCCCAGGCAGGTAAGGCAAACACACACACACACACACACACACACACACACACCAGCAAGAGACACAAGTCGTCAGAGGAGATGGCCAGGGAACTGCCAATTTCACACCCACACATGCACATACACGCCGTCCACAACAAAGCTTTCCTGTCCAGTGTGAACTCTGCTCTCCATGTGACACCGGTCCTCTCTTTCCCTGTCCTGAATTGACCACCATCAGTGACCACAGTCCCCAAATAAAAAGAGAAACACCATTCCCCGCCAAGCCATGCCCTCCCTATAGGACGGGGCTTTGAAGCTTACCTTCGTGGGTCATGAACTTCCACGGAAAACTTCTTCTCTCTGAAATACAGGTTTTCCAACTGTCTCCACTGGAATATCTGGACAGAAAACAACGTCGTTTCAATTCAGGAGCGCCTGGTTCCTGCCGCCAGGGCCGGCTGCCCTGCCTTGCCGGTTAACTTTCCACAGCTGCCACCTTCCTTATCAAAGCGGAGACCAGCAGCTGCATGTCTGCAAGTTTCCTTATCAAAGCCAGGACCCTACAGTTGTTTGCGCCTCCTCCACCTCCAGCTTGAGACACACACACACACACACACACACACACACCCTCCGCAGTTCAAAACCAGGCAATTGTGGGTGTGGATTTTCCTGCAGGTTTCTTAACGGGAACAAAACAAATTCTTTTCAAGTTGTTCCCCTGGGTTTGCCTTTGTTGCATTGCCCCGCTGCAACCGTCCCCAGCTTGGCAGACTTTTCCCTCCCAGGAGAGGGGCGATGGGGAGAGGAGGAGAGAGGCTGAGCCCAGGGGAGAGGAAAGCGCTCTCAGGAGGGAGCAGCAGCCATCTGCCTGCCCAGCCCGCGCGGAGCTTCCTCCTGCAGCGCCGAGGCGGGCAGGCGTTCAGATCCCAGCCTCCCTCCCTCGGGGACTCCACTTCCTGCCGCTAATGTGTGAGCGCAGAGGGCGGAGGCTGCTGCCGGGACCTTATTTCTGGGCAGGCCAGCTCGGGATCGCAGTCTGCGCCTAACAAGCCCATTTTTCTTGCTGAGGCACAAAGACACCAAGATTTCTGCTGCAGGAAGGACACTGCGGCCAGAGAGGGAGGGCGAGGAGTGGGAGGAAGGGGCTGCCCTGGGGTCACCCCTCCTGCCTCCCGGGACTAGGAGCCCATTGACTGAGAGGCCCATTGTCAAGTTTGGAAGTAATTAGCGCTACCTCTGATCGCTCCAGGAAGGGAATGGAGATCCTGTCATCGGGTGAAAAAGAAAGTTACTCGACCGTCTGGGAAATGTCACAGGAGGTTAAAGTTATGCGCACACATGTCTGTATTTATTTTTGATATCGCACCCCCCCCCCACCGCATACTTGGAATTGGAGTTTTGCTGACAAAAAGGTAAAGCAGGAACTCTTCCTCTGGGGAAGAGGTGACTCTCCCTTGGGGTCCCCCCTTTTTGTGCCCATGGAATTGAGCCATCTGCTGTTGAGGGTCTTGATCCAGATCCAAGGTCCTCAGACTGAGGCTCCCAGGTCTCTCCAACCTGCTTGTGTTTCCTCCTGCTTAACAAATCCATGGCCATTTCTCTGTGTCCAGCTAACCCCGCCTCCCCTGCCCACTACATCACCAATCAATGGCTGACCGATGGACCTGCCACCCAGGTCAAACTGGGCTGAAATAGAAACTATTTCTAGAATGGCTGTGTTCTTTTATCTTCGTAATCTCCCCTCCAGAATTTTAAAATTATTTTCTTTATGTAAGTAAAGGAAGGAGGATACTTATTCTTTCTTTTTGTTTTTTTGAGATAGTCTCACTCTGTGCCCCTAGGCTAGAGTGCTATGGTATTTCCCTATATTATCTCTTTTTTTAAAATTTCAGATGAATATGAGGGTACAATTAGGTTACAATGTTTGCATTTGTTAGGTAAAATCCCTGCTGTAATTGTGCCCCTCACCCAGGAGGCCTGCCATATACCCTTACACTGTTCCTCTTAGGTGGGCAAACACCCTCACCCATCCCCCTCCCTCATCCTCCTTCCCTTCATCTTGAATTAAACTGAGTTTTTCTCTGAAGAGCAAGTAATTCCATCTATCACTGGGCAAGGGACATGAAGAACCTTCTCTGAAGAATGGCCAACACACACATGAAGAAATGCTCATTGTCCCTAATCATCAGAGAAATGCAAATCACCCTAAGATATCGCCTAACCCCCGCGAGAAATGCCCACAACACAAAGTCCCACAGATCCTGGTGGGAAGTGGAGAGAAGGGAACACTTTTATACTATTGGTGGGATTGCAAACTAATACAGCCTCTTTTGAAAGAAGTATGGAGAATTCTCAAAGAACTCAAATTAGACCTCTCGTTTGATCCCATAATCCCATTACTAGGCATCTACCCAGAAGTAAAAACCTCTTTATCATAAGGACATTTAGACAAGAATGTTTATCACGGCTCAACTCACAATCTCCAAGATGTGGAATCAACCCAAGTGTCCATCAACCCACGAACGGATTAATAAACTGTGGTACGTGTATACCATGGAATACTATTCAGCCAGAAAAAGATGGAGACGTTACATCTTTTGTACTAATCTGGATAGAGCTGGAGAATATTCTCTTTAGTAAAGTATCACAACATTGGAAAAGCAAGTATTCAATGCATTCAATACTAATATGGAGCAGACAGATAAACTAATACATTCCCACATCAGAGAAATGCTTTCTTTTTTTGAGACAGTTTTGCTCAAGTGCAGTGACATCATCATAGCTGACTGCAGCCTCCAACTCCTGGGCTTGAGTGACCCTGCTTCCTCAGCCTTCCAAGGAGCTGGGACTACAGGTGCCCACCACAACGCCCAGCTAGTTTTTCTATTTTTTGTAGAGATGGGGTCTCCCTCTTGCTCAGGCTGATCTTGAACTCAGAGCCTCAAGCGATCCTCCCGCCTCAGCCTCCCAGAGTCATAGGTTTGCAGGCATGAGCCACCACACCTGCTCCATCTATTATCTCTTATTAGAGAGCTACTTCTTGGGATCCCAGCTCAGACTGAATGTTGCTCTGAAGCCCACAGAAACTTTAACGGTCAATTCCAAGTAGGTGGAAAGATATTTCAAGGAAATTGAACAAAGCCCTGCACTGACTCAGATAGCTCTGTGTTAAGTCACTGATTCAATGCTGCCAAATACACAGGTCTGGGTCTCGTTCCTCTCTGATGCTTGGCCACTATGGATCCCGTAGTGAAAACTCCCATAGTTCCTCTCCAGCCCTAGCTGTTAGTGTTTATAGACATTCCACTTGAACTTAGAACACAGACACACCAGAACTATCAGGTTCCATGACATTGGCCTCATAACCTGGGCAGGTGTACAGAGCAAAGTGGTCAGGCACACAGGCTTTGGAGCCTGGCTCTATCTCTTTGAATCTGGACCTTTGACAACTTAGAGCATTTCCTTGACCTCAATTTTCCCATCTGTAAAATGGACATAATGGCCCCTGCAATGTAGATCTTGGCAGCAACACATCTTTAGCATAGTATTAGCACAGAGTAAGTACTCAACAAACTTAGATCTTACTAAGATTCCTAATTGTGCTCCCAAATCTTGGCAAATAAAAGAGAATAATTCCAGAACAATAAGAATAATTCTTTTCTTAGATTTCCTAACTTAAGCCCTGCTTTAGGGTTAAAAAATAAAATCAGATTTATTCATGTGCTGGAAATCCTCAAGTATAAAGAATTTTTCCCATGTCATTCTCTCTTTCCTCTCAAGAAAAGGAAGTGGACAGTAGATGGCTGGACATTGCAGGGGTCCCTTGCTCAGGCAAAGTGGGACCTTGGACAGCCTTGTGGGCACACTGCCCTCCGTGGACGGACCTGGGGCTGGTTTCCACACTCTGCTGTTGGCCATCCTGAAATTCTTAAGTTTTGCACTGGGACCCATACATTGTGCAGCTGGCCCTAGCTGGTGCTGAGGCTGGCAGGCTCTGTCTTAGGCTCAGCAGCCAGTGGGCTAGACGGGCAGACCTGGCAAGGTGGGACCCTCAAGCTCTCCTTTAAAAGAGGCAAGAAAGCAAGACTAGGTGCAAGCTGGCTTATGGAAACCCCAAGGTGCCCTTCCCAGGCTCAAGCAGATGCTCCGAGGGGTTGGTTCCCGAGGCAGCTTCTTTTCCCTCCTTTCATGTAAAATAAAACACTAACCAAACCTTTGCTTTAAGAGCTCCCTGATGTTGTTTGGTGTGGAAAGCTGGGAGTCTGCCAAAGGGCCCACGAAAAACCACCTGGACTCCTCTGTGGGTCCCTGGCACCTGTGGCTGCTATGGGAAGGCTCTGCTTCCAGCTCTGCCCTGGGTGCTGGGCCCTGCCGTGCTGGCTCCCAGGCATCTCCCTAGGACGAGGCTCTGTCTGTAGAGATTTTTGTAACAGGGTAGAGAACAGTGGGCTCCCCTTGATGTCTGTTTTGAGCGTGTATTTCTTTTTATTTTGTTTTGGCAAATGTGGTCCTAGGAAGGGAGAATAAAGGGTAGTGTTTCAGGATCAGATTGAAATTCTTAAGTTTTGCACTGGGACCCATACATGGTGCAGCTGGCCCTAGCTGGTGCTGAGGCTGGCAGGCTCTGTCCTCGGCTCAGCAGCCAGCGGGCTAGATGGGCAGACCTGGCAAGGGGGGCCCTCAAGCTCTCCTTTAAAAGAGGAATGGAGCCACCCAGGCCGGCAGGGCAAAATCAACAAGCAAATCAACAAACAGAAGGCCCTCAGCCTGCCTCCCGCTTTGGGCAGCCCCCCATCATGCCCTTTCCTAGGGGATCTCCAGCTTGGGCTTGCTCTCGGGGCAGCCATCAGCACTTGCCACCACAGAAAGATGTCAATAAAATACCCAGCAGACACCCATGATGATCACCGGCACAAACGGGCTTGTTCCCAGAGGAGTCTGTATGACTCTATGGCCAATTACGTGGGTGATTAAAAGCTGCTAACAATAATCGAAATTCTAGCAACAATCAAAGAAATTAATTGATAACCTATTAAATCAAGGCCTCCCTAGTCATCTAGGCATCTTTACATCACTCTGCAAACATCATTTCTTTGATCTTTTCCCATCCCCCAAGAAGAGCAAGTGAGAATTTTTCTTACTGGGGGAAAAAGGAGACCCAGAGAAATTAAGGAAAATTGCCTGAGGCCACACAGCAAGTTGGTGAAGGCACCAGAATTAGAAGTCAAGGGCACCTGGTCCATTACTGTATCCTCTAACTATGCTGCTTTCCCCACGGGCCCACCAATTAGAGGGAACAGCTCTTACTCACTAATGGGTGGTTAACTTTACAAGTAGAATGAGTTTTACAATGAGCAACGATGTGGCTGTAAGTAGGAAGTCAAGTATAAAACCAGAT